AGTCAGTGCATGGCTAACTCACAGTGAAATTTTGAAAGGAAAGGATTTGCACAGTTGACCTTTTTGCACAGACTTTACATGATATATGTTACCATACAAGTTATTCATATTGCTAGACTACATGGAACACTATTAGTTATTAACATGAAAACGAGACCAGTTGTCCCAGAGTACCTCATTACATTCAGCTTATGCATAATTTTTTCTCCATTTCAGACCACGTACCATTCCCTAGAATATCATTTTTTTGTTTAACAGTTGCGCATAAGAAGACACATGAATATGGATACAACTCAAATGGATAATCTTATTCTCAAGGGAATGACGTGGACTGAAATGGGTAAACATTACGCCCAAGCTAATATTCCTTTTTACAGTTCCATTCAGTGACCACGAATAATAGTTCCTAGCCGAGGCTGGAGTTACCGCGCATGATAAACTGTAGTTTTGCTATGCGCGGAAACTCCAACCTTGGCTAGGAACTATTATTCGTGGTCACTGCTGAATGGAACTGTAAAAAAGGAGTATTTTCGTTTTGCATCGTTTAGCTATATTTCCATCAGTGGATTGCCATACTCTCTTCCTACCTGCCATAAAGAAGAAGTTCCTTGAAGATTTATCAAGGGTAAGATGAATAAAATGTATGGGATGGGAGAGAAGGGATGCAGACCTCTCTCCTATCTATTCAGTTAGCTTCGCATGCGTATAAGTTACAAATACAGCAAACGTGCACTAAAAGTAGATAATTTTGTGATACGAGAGAAAGTTTGACTTACGACATCTTTATCTCTGAACTGAAAACTCTGTTTTGTTTGATGTTTTTGTTAAATTCATTCATGTTCGTCTTCTAGGCAAGAGAAGAAGATTTGACAGAAGAATACAAACAAGAGCGAGATATTCTGATAACAAAAATAAAACATGGCCTAAAACCAAAGGGAAAAAATGGTAAAAAATAACCAAGATTTCCTACCTACTTTTTTAATTTAACAAAATGATAATCAAAATTTTTGTTTTTAGGTGCTCCCATCTCTGGACCAGAGCTCTCTTCTCTTCTAGAGATTTTAGTTGAAGCTGCTAACGAGGGATCGCTGGCTCAGGTGAGTGTAGTTGAAATCCGTGCATGCGTAGAAGAGTACCACTGCATACCTCTACCTTGGGTGCAATGTTTTTTAATTTCAGACCACGTGCCTTTCTCTTGAGCATAAGATTCTTTGTTTGAGTCATATTCATGTGTCTTCTCATGCACAACCATTAAATAAAGAAATAATACTCAAGAGAATGATATGTGGTTTGAAATGGGAAAGCTACGCCCAAGATAACCGGTCAATTACCATGGTAACTCAGCTATGGGGAAGTAAATGTGTCTTTCATATGATCGTGAATGAAATATATTAGCTAGTCGTAACGCGCGCAATTGAAACATCCACTGAACCAGTCAGCGTGCGTGATCACAGCTCATCCAATCAGATTGCTGGAACACGTCACCGTCACGGCAGAACAATTAGTGTCGTGCTCAATATTTCCGAAGAATACGGTGCGGTCTATATATATCAACAGATCCCAAGCAGATGGAACACGTTCCTTGAAAAACTCGAGAGAACCGCGAAGGAAGACTGCTTGGAGTTTTACGAGGGAGAGATGACATTACTGTACAAAAAGTATGACAATGGTAAGACTTGAAGAAACATAATTCAAAAACTTATAAATGCTAAGACTTTTCCATCTCAAATAAGAAAGAAGTAATATTTATCAATCGTACAGTTTTGTTTTAACCTTCCTAAGACGTAATAAAGAATACGGATAATCATAAAAGAGTATGTACTTCGTGACTCTCTTGTCATAATATTTTTCTCCTTCTTACAGGCCCTATTCCAGAAGAGGAACTTCAAGTAAGGGTGATTCTATGCTTTATTTTACAGAGAGATTTTGAGTTTCCCAATATTTGCGATAGACCTATCCTGAATTCGCTTGACTGGTCACGAAACAATGGTTTCAAGTCGAGGTTGAAATTGATGAATAAGGCCACACGTATCCGGAAATTTTTGTATCCGCAATTTTTTTTTTTTTTTTTTGCGGATACGGAAATGTTCGCGTCCACACGCAGCGTATTCGAATCGTTTTCGAATCGTTTTCACTGTCCACACGTATCTGGAAATTTCTTGATCCGCCCTGATGCACGCTAGTGCCTAGTCCCTTTGACGGATAGTTTTACTTATTGAGCATGCGCAAAATCGTGTTTACGTCATTGTATTGGAAAATTTGCGGATACGACCGTCCACACGTATCCGTATTCGGAGCGTATTCGAAAATTTCCACTCTGGAGACCGTTTTCGAAAATTTCCGGATACGAATACAAACATTTCCGGACACGTGTGGACGGGGCCTAAAAGAATCAAGTTCAGTCTCGACTTCAAACCATTGTTTCGTGGTCAGTCAAGCGAATTTGGGATGGGTCTATTAGTTCACATAGTGGCTAACCTAAACATTTATTAATTAGGACTGGCACACTGTTGCACAAAACAAGTCCCTGAAGCTACTTACACATCTTTTATTCGGGTAACGTTTCCTTTTATTGTAAATGTGATTTATTTATTCCGCTCTTTATATAGTGTTAGCCTTTCCGAATTTGAGGGGAAACTGGGTCGAGTTGGAATTGTATTGCATTGTCGGACTGTTTCCAAGATGGCGGCTATTTTGTCCCCTAAAACAGCCCCACGATGCACTGCAATTCCAACTCAACCCAGTTTTTACCTCAACCTCGGAATGGCCAATTACTTCTCATCTTTTGTTTCTTGGTCTTAGTCTTGGTCACGTGGTAGAAGAATCGTCACGTGGTTTGTCTAGGAAGATAGACGAGAGTTACGAAAGGTCTTTGGATATGAACGCCAAAAAAACTACCTTAAAGTGTAATGACGTACAACGCAGACTCGAGGTGAGACATTATTATCATCCATGGAATTGTTAGATACTGTGGGGTTTGAGTTAAACGCTTAAATAAATAATCACGTGATTCATGTGACGTCACAGCCGCCATGTTGGTTGAGTTGAACAAAAGATTTGGTCTTCATCTCTTTTGTTGAGTCAACCAACATGGCGGCTACTTCTCCTGTTCCTTTATTCGCATGGAAAGGGACTCACTTACTATGACTTTCCCCAATCAAGAGTAAAATTACAACGAATTATTTATGAAACAGTGAATCAAAAAATAACGTTTAAAGGATTATTTTCCTCCAGCTTGAATCAGAAGAGGAACTCGAGAAGATTGGACTGCCCGTCAAATCCGCTCAACTTTTTAGTTTGTTTAAGAATATCGAAAAGGAAACCCTGAAAAAATTTGAGTAAGTATCATTTGATCTTTCTTCAGCTATATCCTCATAGTTTACTTTCTATAACTAGGAGTCTGGGAACGATGGACAAAATGTAGGGGAGGAGGTCCTATTTACCAAAGGAAGCCCAATACCAATCAAGAGTAGAGACGCTAAATTTTTGTTAATGATATTTTACTAGTAATCAAGTCTTTTTTGAATGATTTTTCTCGTAGATTATATTTGGGGTATTTATCTAAAAGTATCGCGTACAAGACTTACTATACCAGACTTCAGGTTTGTGCTGATTCCGCAGTGTTACGCAATAGATTCCTTTTACTTGCCAGTGCCTCAATTGCAAATTTGAATAAGGAACAAATTTCGCCAAGCATTTTGGTAGTGGTAGTAAAATGACCCCATCATGCAAACGGCCTATTCAAATTCTGCCGCAAACTTTAGACAAGCCGACCGCTTTCATTCTTTCGTAAACACGCGCAAAAAGTCCGCCGGAAAAGTCTATCAACGATCGCCAGCATTTAGACATAACTTATTAACTGTTTGTACCGACGACAGCTAATAGCCCTTCCCCTACCCCTATGGGAGGCTAATTTCGTCCATCTCCGTGTATTTTTCCAGGAGTCACTAGACAGTCTACGCGACTCTTACGTCCTTAAGAACAACAAAGCCCTTGAGGGTGTTCTGAAATACGCGATGGGAAAGGCAATCGGTACGTATCAAATAACACCGATTTTTGCATTATCTTGTATAATGGTTTGCGCTCATTATTCAGCTTGGACTGCCTGTGGTTAGATGGCAGAACAATAAAATCCCTTTACTCTTGGGGATTAAACTCTTTCTTAAGTAAAACGATTGTATTGTTCCTGTCATCCAACTTGGCTGTCGTCACGTGATGGTGCAAAACCTCTATTATTTATAGCACACTTTTTGGCCTCAAATATAAAATAATTCAATAATAGGTGTTATTTTAGGATTTCATTTTCGACTATCTGCTGTTATCCAAACGGTGCTTCCTGGGCCCGTATGTACGTAGCGCTATCCGACGGATAAATCTTATCCGGTGGATAAATTTATTGGATAACAGCATTGACTCATCCACTGGATAAGGATTTATCCGTTGGATTGCGCATGCGCTATCCTCCCTTAGAGCGACAGAGAATCGCCAATATTTTCAAATGTATTTGGTCTGCACATACCTGTGGTGCAGTGACTGATGACCCATTGTATTTCTGTTGTAGACGTTTTCTTTCAGATATCAAAATCGAAGGACGAAACCCCGCGAACACCAAAGGTGTTGAAGAAAGTCCTTGAAAACGCTAAGCAAGAAGGCATAGAGGTAGATATTAGAAGATTAATGATAATAATAAAAATAATAATAATGATGATAATAATTGTTACAATAACTTACAAATTTCTCGCGCTCTGATTGGTTATTTTTTATCATCAATAAGAGGAAAGACGTCAACGAGCGCGCGCTCTTTCCGTTGGTCATTTTGATTACTGAAAATGAGAATTTTTTATCGTTTTTGTTATTGTAAAAAAAACAAATAGACTTCTATTTGTTAAATATGCGCATTTGATCATATTCAACATGTTATTTTGTGCATTATAAATAATAAATATTATTATTAAGAAATGGCTTTTATTAACAAAATTTCCATACATAAATAGAGTCCTCTTCCTCTGTTAATTAAATCTAAGAAACTAACATGTATTGGTGTACAGGTGTTCAAAACAGAAAGTGATATCGCTATTGAGGAGGACATATTTCAGCCCTTCCTCTTCATGCTTCAGGTATGACAAGGAGACCGATAGTCCCCTTCACAGTTCCCTGCGCCATCTTGAAAGGTAGTCGTGCCTTTGCATCGAAGCGAGACGAACGAGACGAACCTTTTTTTAACACCTTGGACAATTATTCACATATCTCTATCATTGCAAACTCACCGTTCGTCTCGCTTCGATGCAAAGGCACGGCTACCTTTCAAGATGGTGCAGGGAACTGTGAAAGGAACTATTAGCAAAATGGTATCTGTTTCTAAATACTTCACCATGGGTGGGTTTCCTGTGTTTCCTATTTCCGAGGACGAATGAGCCGAGATTGGGGAATAACCAAAATGAATTTAAAAAATTTATTCCCATAAACCAACATTTGATATTTTAACATCCTAAACGTTTTAGACTAACTTGCATGCAGACTACTGAGCATGCGCAGAAGTTTCCGTGTCCGGAAAGCGCGAAAGTTCAATGTCATGGAAACGCCTTGATTGATGCCAAAAAAAACCCTGCCATCTTGAGTCTACCATTCTAAAGCCACATTTTCTTGCATGACGCGTTGTTCACCAGTCCTCTTGACCTCATCTTCCTAACTAAACATCATTTTCTTAGGGTAAAATAGATGAAGTCTGGTTGTCCATGGAAGATGAAAATACCGAGCTAGTACGACGACAAGCGGTCTCCAAGGTATCTTAAGTACAACTAGCCTTAGTCCTATAAATAAAAATAGCTCAGACGTAAAACACATCGGGCGCCACCCCAATACCTGATGGACACTTCTAGTTATGAACTTCTGACTCAGCTATATGGTGTCCACTCTTAGTTTCAATGTGTCTTACTAGGTGAGAGAGCTGTTGGTGTTGTTCAGAGATAACACAGCAGGCCATAAGATCGTTCTTCCCATCAACGAAACAGATCTCGATTCGAGGTGAGTACAAAATGCGGAATACTAAGAAAAAGTAAAACCTCCTTAAATTATAAAGCGTGATGTAGTGACCTTGCCATCTGAGGTCGCGGGTTGAGTTGCTGGACTTGGTATCACACGCGAAAAGAGTTCTCTCCTGATTACAGGGTCTTTCTCCGGGCTCATTAGTTTTCCTACGCCCGTAAGACCTAGCAAGCTAAACTCTAATTCGATCTGTGAGTTACCGTACCATGACTTTGTTCAACCCATGCCAGAGGTCGTTTCAGGGTATCGATAAAATTTGAAGGTAACTGAGTTTTCCTCCCCTCCTCCCTCCGGGGGAAATACCGGTAGGTACGGCAGCCAACGAATGCATAGCTTCCTAAAATGTTCCGGCATTTTTTCTCAAGGCTGACAGCAGAAAAAGAGAAAATCTTTGCAAGCTTCCAAAGTTCCCAGGTATGTTAAGCCAGGGTGTCACACTGACACACGTGGCTCTTTGTGCCGAATCCAGCCGAAGGAGGGTAGCTCGCCGAGCCATGCTTTTCTTTTAATTTATACTCTTTTCTTTTTCCAATTCTCCGCCTCACAAATTTTCCTTGAATGCTTCCCCTTTCTCTATCACTACAGTAGTTCCTGCTAATCATATCTTGACTATCTTAAGATATAACTAAAAATATTAAGACTATAAATGATTGTGTTTTCGTTTTATATTCCAGACTGGATTTGAAGGGTTTGAAGTAGTAAAACAGACGTATGGATCTCTCGAGGTGCGTGTGAGGAAATTCATATTTAACTATACTATACTAGTTTTCGTCTTGAAGTTTTACCAAGCGTTGTACGAAGTTCTAAATGGTTGTCTTGATTTACGCATTTTTCACACATTTTACATAGTTATTTAGGATTATCCCTAGGGGGACCTAGGAATTATCTGTGAAGAACGCCAACACGGTAGTACGCCGCACTAGCTCAGTGCACATTACATAAGTTAGTTACGCCGGCATTTTTACGCGAGACAGACTTGATTCAATCTCTAGTTAGAAGGACCTAGTATAGATCTGTGAGGGACGCCAACGCGATAATATGACGCACTAGCTGCGCATCCGTTTTCCAGTTACGCATTTTGATCCTATTTGATTTAAACTTTAGGTGGACCTAGAAAAGATCTGTGTGGAACGCCGTCACGAAAACATGGTTGCTTATAGTAAAGAAGTCAAGGTTCCCTTGACAACCAGTAAAAAAGTTGTCATTATCTCGGCGGACAACTACGACACTGTTTTTTCTCTCAAGCAATACGTAAGTAATTCAAAACTTTTCTTGATTTTCAACGCGTGAGCAAGATGTTTCGCTCAGTTCAGACCGCGTGTCATTCCTTAGAGTAGAATTTCTTCGTTTAACGGTGAGCTGCACACGAGAAGAATCCATGAATATTGATACAACTCAAGCAAAGAATGTTGTTGTCAAGAAAATGACACGTGGTTTGAAATGGGAAAACATTGCGACCAAGGTAGAGGTCTATTTCTCATAATGATTCGTAATTTCAAGTCAAAAATTGGCCAAGTTTTCAAAAATTCACATTATTTCTTAAACTAAACTTTATTTTTTAAATTAGATCCGACAAGTTTGTCTTTTAAATCTGGACGAAGGGAAACCCAAGCACTGGCCAATGTCACTCAAGAACACCATTATTGACAATTTCATTGAAACTGATAAAGATATTGGTAAAATAATCAAAGCCCGTAAGAGTTTGTGGAGAAATTTCAAAGGTTTTTTCCAGTGGATGCTGTGGTTATTTGGGATGTACTAATAATTATTGTCGTTTTAATTTAAAGAACCATTATTATTGCTGTTAATATTGGTGAGTTGTGTTGAGGAATAGGTTTAAGTGCACCTGTAGTGACAGACCACCTCTAACTCTTTATAAGGTAACCTTATCTTTCTCATTTAGAGGTGATAATAAATTGAGTCAGTCACCTCTAATGAACGACCACCTCTAAAATCCGACCACTCTTTACAAGGTGAACTTATCTCACTCATTTATAGGTGGATATAGATGGAATGAACGACCACCTCTAGAATCTGACCACTCTTTATAAGGTGAACGTATTTCTCTCTTTTAGAGGTGGACATAGATGGAGTGAGTCACCTCTAATGAACGACCACCTCTATAATCCAACCACTCTTGTCACTTCGGGTGACCAAATTTATCTCTTTTGAGGTGACCTTGTTTTCCAGCCCATAGAATCCAACCACATGCAAGTTCTCAAGGTGACCACATTTCACAGACTGTAAAACGTTCAAATATACAGTTTATATTTGGCATAGAAGACTTTTGTCAAAGAAAATACTGAAAAGGCTGGTTTAAGTTCTTAAATAAAAAATAATAATAATAAATAAATAAATAAAAACCTAATTTGCTTTTGTTGCAGTAGTTAATTTACCACAACGACCATTAGACCTTTTCAACACAGGCATAAATATATTTTCCTATTTCAGACCATGTGTCATTCTCTTGAGAATCCATATTCCTGTATCTTGTCATATAGTGAAATCATTAAACAAATAAATGATACTCTAGGGAATGACACATGGTCTGAAATGAGAAAAACATTACACCCAAAAGTGAAGCACTCTCGTTGCACAGTCTTTTGCACAAGCTGAAAAGGTCTATCTCAATGTAATTCCTAAAATGTGTGACTAGCTTTACATTAAATTCTGCTCACATATGTGGAATTTTACCTACCCTTTCCTTGGTTTCTTTCTTTACCCAATTCCTTACTTGTTGAAGGAGTTTCTCGTGACCAGGTGATCTCTCACCCACACTTCCAGTAACAATTAACCCATCAAAAGTATTTTCGTTGCATCGCCAAAAGTTCCATGATGAATTTCAAAAATTTTAATGGAGTAGTGTTTCGAGTTAACCTTTTTAAATACCTCCTAAAATACAACTTTACATTGAAAAATGATACAAGTACAGAAAAGCTTCCTTTTGCCCTATCAGCAATTAAGATTAATAAAAACAAAGTATAAACGCAATAAAAGTAAGCAAAATAAGACTTGACTTATTATTAGTCATCAGCCACCATTTTGATTACTGTGAGATATTATGAAATAGGAGACAGGGTATTAGGAGCTGTTTGATTTGACAAATAATCCTTGGCTCAATTTGAGGAAGATAACCTTGGAGTTTAGTGCTGTGTTGTGTGCGTGCTATGGATCAGTTTTCTTAACTTTTCAGAGTAGTACCATACTATACCCCCCCCCCCCCCCCCAATTTTAAAACATACACTGTACCACACTGTTGTCCCCTGCCCTGGAAAATAAAAGTCTCTTCGTGCAGATGTTTTTGATTATATATTTAATAATATTATCTATTAATATTCAATATTCTATTTTACAATGTCCCATGCTTAACAACATCATCCTCTATTAAATAAGGAATTTCCTTCATCATTAGCATTTTGTTGAATTGTATATTAATTGCAATGATTTGCATTCCCCTTCCACTGAACAAACAAATATAAATTGCATTGCGTAGCCCAAGAAAAATATACCTCTTAACTGCCTTGCCTGAAATAAATTTTCTCATTTTTATGTTATCTTAAATACATGAAGCTTAGTAAAAAAAATACTTCTAAAGATTTCATAAGATTTGAAAATCTTCAAAATCTGAGACCAAATGATGTTTCTTTCATTCATTCATTCATTCTTATTCTTTCCCACATGACATTATTTTGTCACATGATTATGCATAAATATATTTACCGATTAATCTATTTGCAGCTTTGGTCAGCCTAGAGTGTGTACGATTAAGCTGTGAAATAGCTAAATAATACTAAAAAATACTGAAACACCATTTGTTCCCTATTGTCTAATAGTCAGGCAATGTACTAAAATGTACTCATCCCCCTACACAAAACCCAACTTCCTAAATTCCAATTCAATCTCGATTTAGCTACGGCATAACTTAGGGGACTTTCATTTATTAACATATATAGGGGGTGGGGAAAATCACATGGAAAGCTTTACAATTAATATGACCCAACCCAACCCCTCCCCCCCCCCC